ACAAAAGTCCATATGAGTACAACTTATCAACCGCAGACAGATGGGTAGTCAGAGAGGACTATTCAGAATTTAGAAGATATGCTCAAGGCTTGTATTTTGGATTGTGAAGGGAGCTGGAGAAAGTATTTACCTCTAACAGAGTTTGACTACAAGAACAACTATCATTCAAGTATTTGGATGGCACTGTATGAGATGCGTTATGTAGGCCTTGTCGTACACCTCTTTGTTAGACAGAAGTAAGGGAAGAAAAGACTTAGCACCATCAATGGTTCAGGAGACGGTATAACAAGGTGATATACTCATGACTTGGCTTAATGAAGCCCTCGACCGGCAGAAGAATTATGCAGATAAGTGCCATAAGGTTTGGAATTAAGGTGGGCGACTTAGTATACTTGAAAATGAGAACATTTCAAGGAGGATCTAAGACTCAGAAGCTGGAGAAGCTTAAACCAAGTTATATGGGATCGTACCCTATTTTGGAGCGGATTTGAACAATAGCTTATAGATTGAAGTTATTAGCTAAGTTGTCCGACTTTCATGATGTTTTCTACGTGTCAGTGTTGAGGAAGGTTTTGAGAGAGCCAGAGCTCATTTTTCAGCAGCTGCAAGTGATAATGGTATAAACTTGTCTGCATGTATTTAGCCAGCTGAGATTTTGGCTCGGCAAATGAAAGAGGTTCAGGAGACGATGACCATGTCCGTCAAAGTTTACTATGGGACAGACAAGACCAAAAGGAGACCTGGAAAACTGAGACTCATATGAAGATTGACTATCCATATTTTTTTCTTTTAGGATGGTATTAGACAGCAGGCTCCAGACTTGAATTCGAGGACGAATTCTTTATAAGTGGTGGAGAATTGTAACGACCCGGTTTTCACTAAATTGGTATAGAAATTGGTTTGATTAATTAATTGTACCAAACCAAATTATTTACAAAACCAAAGCGATATATATATATATACTTGTATGCATCTCCTTCCTCATGTTAACCTAGCCGTCAAGTTTACAAGTGAGAAACCAACATCGATGTACCATCTCTTCCCACACCCCTCATGTGTCTTACGATCAAAGAAACTTTCAGTTTCATAAGTAAAGAATACGAGTTTTCAAATCCATCACCATTCCATCTCATGTGGGTTGAAGTGATCAAAGCTGAGAGGGAAAGAAGACGTACGAACCAGAGCCACCATCTCAGCATCATAAACCACCATTATTTTGCGCTGCTGTGAACCTAAAGCAACCCAATGTGTGTCTCAGCACCGGAGATACTTTTGTGCCCCAGAGATTCCTCCATGACTTAAGCCGAGGAGAAGGGATGAACTATATTGGATCCATGGCTGAGGAGTGGTTTTGCGGGAGGATCCTATATCGATTCAATGGACTTTAGCCTTCGAACCATGGCTCATTGGATAGATCTTGTTTCCATGAATATGTAGCATCAAACGGAATCGAGATCGGAGTTGTACAGTAAAGGTTATTGGCGTTATTTCTTGTCCAAGAATAAACTTAAGCTGCTGCGATGCAGAGGCAGTTCCAAACAGTCTCAGCATAAAGGCGAAACGGTCGACCTAAACAAAAGATTTCAGTCTGGAAATTTGTCATTAAGTACTTAACTCTGTTATCTATCATCTCAAGCAAGCAGTTTATCATATTTTCTGAAATTTATACTCGTTTTCGCGAGAGAGATTTGTGCAGTTTTCATTCACGACCATCCTGGAGGTAGAGTCATTTTGGTGAATCAAATGGTGTCCGATCGGACTAAAATCAGTTGTTACAAACAGAGGACATCTGGGACTACATTCTGACCAGAGGGATTAAAACGTTAATGGTCAGTTCTTGAGGTATTCATCTGCTTTCTATAGAGTTTAGTTTTGCCAGAAAAAAATCATATTCATTTATTTTCATAGAGTTCCGGAGTTGTGTTGTTTTAGAGTAGACAAGGTCATTCGATGTTTCTCAGGTTTTCTTCAAAATCCGTGGCAAATGTGAGGGCCTAATCCATAACTTCCGTATCAGTATAGAATTCTTCATATCGTAGTTTAGATTTCGAAGCATGATCCGTCTGTTTGAATTGAGTGTATTTGAGTCTTGATTGGTAGTTAGTTCATTCACTGTAAATTGGAACTAGGGGTCTAGAGGATTCAACCGTTGATTGGATTGTGTGATGTTTAGAGATGCTATATATATGTATATATATATATATACATAGTTATGAATAGGGACTATGTGCGAGGGGGGGGGGGGCTCAGAGACGTCTACGCTAGCGACGTAGCTTGTGTGGGGCGTGGATGCAGAGACGTTTGCATTCGACACAACGTATGATGTATATCCGTATATGGAGATGCGGGGTGTGTGGTTTAGCTATGCATTATCAGCGCATTGGTTGTTCTGTGTGATGTCTTAGGCGTCTTGATTGTTCATGTTAGAGCTAAACTCCCATAGTGGGAGTTCTATTTACTCAAGTCACTGTTTTGTATGTTTAGCATCTCATACCTCACTGAGTGACTGTTTGAACCAAAAACGGTGTGTTTGTTGGATTCATACAATAAAAGATCTAAGGATTATATCCTTGAGGTTTAGGAGAAATCACAATGAAATCAAATGGGAAAAAGAACATCAAATAGAGTTTTATTGATTAAAGATTCATTACAAGTATGATACAAGTGTAAAGTGAATCTAAGAATCTATAAATCTCAATAAGAAAGTGTTGTAGATCTAAGAAGAGGTAAAAGATCCGTTGCTAAAGAGAAATGTCTCTTTATTTATACAAGGATTGAGCCTAGTGCTTCCTAATAAAATGGGCCTAATTCATTGTCTAATGGACCTTGAGGGAAGATGTAAATCCACCCCCAACAGTAAGTCCCCCAAGTTCGTAGAGAGAGCGAAGTCGATCTCTGTGAATTTTACAAATAGGGTTTAGTAGACAATGAACTAGACACATTCATGCCTATGACAGTTTAGGCGAGTTTACTTTGAACTTTTGCCTAGTAAAAGGCGAGTTTGCTTTGAACTCGTGCTTAATGAAAGACAAGTTTACTAGGCTCATGCCGAAACGAAGGAGAATTTATTAAACTCGTGCCTAGTAGAAGGAGAGATTACGTAAATTCGTGCCTAGCCAATGATGATTTTTTGTAAACTCGTGTCTAACAATAAGCGAGTCGATTGCAAACTCGTGCCTAATAAAAAGCAAGTTCAATTTAAACTCGTGCCTAGTATACAAGTTTATCCAACTATTGCTGACCCGAAGTCTCGTGTTGAGATCAATGTATGTCGAGCAAGTTGTTGGCGAGTATGTTCGTCAGACTATGATGACATTGAGAAATGTGCTGACTTGCGCTGTTTGTACTGCTCTCGATGAACTAGTAGCTGAAAGCTCATCTTTTGAAGCATGAGAACACGATGGTGGAACCACTTGTTGACTCTCTTCGGTTCCACGACCGCAATTGACTCTGCCTTACGGAAAGCACAAGCATGATTAGATTAGGATAAACCATAACAAACAATCAAGTTTTGCATAATCAATAAGTAAGCAATGGAACTCGTTTTCATTCAATGCTCGTGAGTTGCGCATGACAGTAATTTATCAATTCCTAAGTAGTATGCATAGATTGCAACCAAGAAAGCAAAACATGAGATGAATGAACAATTTAGAGCTGTTTAATAATTTAAACCAAAGCCTTAATGTGTACCGCAAGACATGTACGTAAAGCGATTAAAGCATGTGATGAGTTAATAAAATAAGGGTCCGACTGGTTTCCCCGCTACCACCCGCAAACGCAGCTTTTGCGGTTGATGGCGGTTGCTAGCGTTTTGCAACAATCACAAAAACCACTACAAATCGCTTCAAACCGCTCCCAACCTCTTAAAATCAAAAGCTGGTTTCAGCTAGCGTTTGCGTTTGCGGGCGATTGCGGGTGGGTAAAAAACTATTTTTTAAAATTTAAATTAAAATATAAAAATAAAAATAATATAACTAAAACTATATCTACCTTTTATTTTTTAATTTAAATTCACTAAAAATATCATAATCTATTTATAAAAACTTTAAATCAAGAATTTTCACTATATTTTTCAATATTAAATATATAAATATATAAATATATAAATATATAAATATATAAATATAATTAATTAATTATATTATATTATAATATTATATTTTTATCTAAATAAAATTATAAAAATAATATTGTTATTACTTATAATATATTAATAGTTATTATTTTTTTATCATAACAGTATGTTTTGCTATTTTTATAATGTTATAATTTGTTAATATTGGAAATTTATTATTGAACCGCTGTAGTATCTCATAATCAACCAGTCATAAATGNTAAATAAAATTATAAAAATAATATTGTTATTACTTATAATATATTAATAGTTATTATTTTTTTATCATAACAGTATGTTTTGCTATTTTTATAATGTTATAATTTGTTAATATTGGAAATTTATTATTGAACCGCTGTAGTATCTCATAATCAACCAGTCATAAATGTCCCGCAAACGCACCAGTTTTTAATCGCTGTATCAGTCGTACAAATCGCCTAATAACGCTAGAAACCGCAACCACCCACATCCGCAAACTCCCGCAACCGCAATCGCAACCGCCGCGTTTCAACCAGTCAGACCCTAACTTATCTTTGTCATAATTGTGGCAACCATTTGTTGATTTCCTTTATCTCTTTTGGCTCAACGATCTCTGGCCCAAGAAAAGTATGATTATGGTTAGATCAATATAAACCAAAAAAAAATAACCAACTTTGACATAATTAATAAGCAAGTGACTGAACTTGTTTGTTGCTTAATGCTCGTGGGCTACACATTATGATATAATAATTGTCAAGTTATTAATATCATAAGACTACCAATCAGCAAAGCAATAACATGAGCCTATGAACAACTTAGAGTTGTTTAATTATTTAAACCAAAGCCACAATGTCTGCCATGATACTAATTTAAAAGTGATGATTTAATAGAGAGCTTATCTTTGAGGATGATAGGCTCGAGTAAGTGGCTGACGAGAAAGCGTTTGTCTCTTATACGTTCACGAGAAGCTCGTGCCAGTTGCGGTAAGTTTGTTGTGGGAATCTGAGCTTGTCGTTCTTGACGTAAGGACACGAGACGGATCCGAGCATGTGTCACGTCTGCCTCTTGGTTCTGAAATTTTTTTTGGCTCAACAATGGCAATCCAACAAACACCTTCTCGATTCTCCGAGAGCTCGTTAACCAATGAAATGTCTTCTTCTTCACTCTATCAAACAAACAGAGTTCCTTAGTCATCATCACCACACGATTATGAACAGTGTACAAGATCCAGAAGAGGGATCACTCAAACGCAAGCAACATGAAACCCTTTCCGCGAATCGCGATCTTCTCAAAAGCCCCACCACGCTCTTCAGGATCTCTGATTCTCTGCCATACTTCTCACTACTGTCTCCTTTTTCTACTTGGGGAAGCGGTTTTCCAACGATGGCCACAAGCAGCTCGCCTTCTTCTCCTCCGAGAGCTCATTAACCTCAGTGGAGACAAGATTCAACGTACTCAAGATCTCCAACTTCCTGATTGATTTGGGGATCGTGATTGTGGATCTTAAGCGAAAAAGTTCTTAGACTTTGTTGCAGAGATCCGGCTGAACGAAGGAGAGACGAGATGTACTGGGTTGACGAAGTAGCTCACTGGATGTCGCAGAGAAGGAGCTGAGCATGAGAACAACCGCGTCTTGGAGCTCCGTGTCCTGCTCCAGCGAGTTCCTCATCCTCAGATTAACCTCGGCAATTGAGAATGAAAAAGCTTTGAAAGCTCCTGATCTGTTTCGACGAATGGAAGGGAAAGATACGAGTTTGATGAAGCGATGATGATGAACTCGTGTCGGGGAGAAAGCTTCCTCCTTTTTTTTTTTTTTTTTTTTTTTTTTTTTTTTTTTACTCGGATCTCAAATCTAGGATTTTTCCCAAGTTTGATAAGCTTTGAAGATAGTTCTCCTTAGACCTTCTAGCGCATGCGCCAACTGCTTGATCCAAAAATGGTGTGTTTGTAGAATTATAATAATAAAAGATTTAAGAATTTGAATTCTTAAATCCTTGAGGTATATAAGAAATCAACAAAGAAATCAAATGAAAATGGAATATCAAATAAATTTTTATTGTTCATTGATTCATTACAAAATGATTTTAAATATAAAGTGAATCTATAAATCTCTATAATAAGTGTTCTGGAAGAGCCTCATCTGCTAAAGAGAGGCTTATATAAGGATGACAGCTTATATAAGGATATTTGATAAAATGGAATATCAAATAAATGTCTCGTTATTTATATAAGGATGAAAGCTTAGGGCTTCCTAATGAAATGGGTTTAATCTATTGTCTAATAGGCTTTGAGGAGGATGTGAATTCATCCCAACAATAACTTCCCTGTTATTCACCATTTTTTCTTCCTTTCTTTCAGGTGAGATTGACGATCTGGAGTGGTCATTTCGGACGGATGCTTTTGAGAGTTTTATTTATTTATTTTCAGACATATAATTTTATATATATTTTTGAGATTTGTTATGTTATTTGAATTTACGGTTATTTATTAGACTACGGAAATTTTGAGACGACTTATGATATTAAATAAATGAGGGTTTCATACATTTTTATTTATTTTATTATGGAAAACATGGATGTTACAATTATGGTCTAGCAGTTCACTTTTAATAATTAAAATGGACAGTGTGAGAACAAATGCTTGACAGAAAATCAAAAACCAAACCACTTTGATATAGCAAAAATTTGTAAAACGATAAATTACAAAACATATAAATGATTCAGTCTCTCTCTCCTTTCTTTTCAAGAACCAAACCAGGTCGCAGAACATGACACTGACAATAACATAAGAAGCCTATAACGGTGATGCTTCAGAGACTGAGGTTGTCGTCACCTTTGGCAATATGACTCCAATATTTCTCTGATAATCCACTCAACACATTGGATAATCACATATTCATAATGGAGCAACGCCTAGAACCGCATTAAAAAACTTTACATGGAGCGAGTTTAATAACTCATATGTTACTTCACCGCTCTACAAGCAATTAAGATTACAATCATACACTATTAAAAGCGGTAAATAAAGCCCTCTCACCATATCCACATCACCAAATATATTTGGTCAATAATAGGACTTTAAACAGCCATGTCATGTTTGGTTTGGGCATGCGAAACCCGATTTCGATTTCGGTTTAATCTACCGAAACCCGGTTTGTTTTCGGTCAATATTAAGTTACAAAATAAAAAGAATATAAATTAAATGCTTTTATATATACAGTCCAAAACGATCATCATCATTACTCCATGACCAAACAACATAACTACCAAAGTTTTCAGAACTTATAATTACTAACAAAGAAATCATGGAAAAATAAATAAATTGTAAATATGTTCATATATTTGTTTATAAAAAAATATATATATATATAGTAGAACCTCAGTAAAATAATAATGTTAAGACTTAGATATTTTAATACTTAATGTATATATTAATTTGCCAAGAAAAAAAAACCAAACAGAAGGACTTTTGTACTTCATTGTACTTTAAATTCACTATTAAAAGGGAAAAATAAAGCACTCTCACGATGTCCACATCACCAAATATATTTGGCCAATAATAGGGCTTTAAACAGCCATGTCATGTTTGGTTTGGGCATGCGAAACCCGATTTCGATTTCGGTTTAATATACCGAAATGCGGTTTGTTTACGGTCAATGTTAAGTTACAAAATAAAAAGAATATAAAGTAAATGCTTTTATATATACAGTCCAAAACGATCATCATCATTACTCTATGACCAAACAATAGAACTACCAAAGTTTTCAGAACTTAAAATTACTAACAAAAAAATCATGGAAAAAATAAATCATAAATATGTTCATATATTTGTTTATAACATATATATATATATATAGTAGAACCTCAGTAAAATAATAATGTTAAGACTTAGATATTTTAATACTTAACGTACATATTAATTTACCACACAAAAAAACCAGACAGAAGGACTTTTGTACTTCATTGTACTTTAAATTTAAATGTAACGTACAACAAATATTGTAATTTTTAATATAATCCTCAGTTTACATACTTTAATCCTAAAAATAAAAATTGAAGATTTAAGATTTTATCTGTGATCCATTTTGACGATTTCTATAATTTTCATTCCAACTTATAACTAATTTGGATATTAGAATGTCTACAATTTTAAAACTAAGTGTATTAAAATTCTATAAAAAGTAATTTAGATAAGAGATTGGATAATAAAAAAATTCAAGAGTCAAAAAAAACTTAACATTATTTAATTTATGTATTTTCATGTATTTTATTAGTAAAAAAAATTAGATAGAGTTTATTAATTAAATATAAACTCAGACAAGTCAATGAACATAATAGTAAAAAAACAGTTTTACATAATTAAACTATTAAAATATAAAATATGTGTGTAGCTCTGCTTCAATTCTATGTGGTCTATCGTATACTCCCTAAATTTGTTAATATGCAAGTAATGGTTATAAATTTTTAATTTCAAACGAAAATAAACTGAAATATATGTTACTATGATAATTTAGCTATTATGTTAAATAAAAATATTTATTATTATATGCATTTAATTTCAAAATTTTCCCAAAGTAAACATAAATAAGTTCTAAATTTTTTAAATATATGTTAGAATGCATATGTGATTAATTTAATTTCTACTTTATAATATAGTTAAAATTTAATTATGATATATATACTTTAATGTAATAGTTTAATTACGTATGAATTATGTATATATAAGCATTATAAATTTGTTTGTTTTAAAAATAACTTCAAACTGAATACATATTTAGTTGTTAACAAAGTAAAATAAATAAAAAATTATAATATACACATAAAAATTAAAACAATAAACATCTACATTTTCAATAACGAAGATGTTAAAATATTTTCTCAGAATGCAATAGTAGAAAAGATATATGTAAGGAAAAACATGAAGTTTACTATTGCACTTTTCCCATAGATTGGAAAAATAACAATTTGAACATTTTTCCATTCCCAAATTTCAGGCGGACACACGCATAAGAGAAAACGAGGCCGTCCACCTGGGTTGCGTAATAAACCAATGCGGATCCGAAGTTGAGCGTTTAGCGAAGGAGTTAGCTGAGTCGCAAGAGAAGTCTGCTCAGCTCGAAGGGAAATTGACGGTGATTGAAGATGCGCATTCCGCAAAGGTGTCTCAGTTCGAGGTTAGGATCAATAAATTGGAGCGCGATCTCGGAAAGACTACGAGTTCTTTGCTCAAGGCGAAAGATGCGAATAAGGCTAAGGCTTCGGAGTTGCGCAGACTTCAGCGCAAGATCAAGAGCATTGAGGGATTGACGGTCCGTCCGACCAAAGAGGATGTTCCTATCGAGGGAAGTGACTCCGACCCAGATCTTGCGCTAGCGTAGATGAGAGCAAAGCTCCTGAGGCTGCCGAGGAAGGTGAAGGCGTGGCTGCGTGTGCCTGTGAGGCGATGGATGGGGACGAGACTCCGTGTGCAGGGTGTCTGAGGTTGTAATCTCGTATGTGAGATTTTTTTTTTAATTATGTTTTCGTGTGTTGGCCGAGGATGGCCTTTGTGTTTATTCGGGACTGGCCATTATGGCTTCAAATCCCCGTTTCTTCGGAAACGTTTTGTTAAACAATCGGTTTCCGTTAACCTCTTGCTTTAAGTTGATATTAAGGGAGGTCCGCGAGTTGTCGTCTCGCTTTCTTTTTCCTTTGTGGATCGCCTTATTCGTTTGCTCGTTTTAGGATGTTTAGTAAACCGAGTGAGCGTTTAGATATAGACGAAGAGACATGCCTTTAGGGTCTCGATTCATGCCTTGAGACGTTAGAGACCAGTGTGTTGGGTTTAAGGAAAGACCTAGGTTTACTTTTGGATTGAGGCTATGCGATGACTAGTCGGCTTTCATTTTGCCTATTGCGATTTTAACCTAATTCCATACCGATTTAGAATCCGCGATAGGTTCTCGGCTTATACGATTCGTCTGGTTGGAATCGAGCATCTCACCGGGAACAATTTCTAAGTTGCCCAGAAGTGCTGACCAAAAGTTTGGATTTCTTTTATAAAGCTATTACCCTTGTTTCGGGTGTTCGAGAGCTATCTCTATGAGATAACTTAAGTTTGTGTAGGACTGTTGCGAGTTTGTTGTGATCAGCAACAAACTTTTAAGTGATAGATGTTTACGTTGTTTGGACCTTCGCGAAGGGATTATATCTTAAGAAGCTGTGTATGTCTTTTATAGTCGCGGACGGACTGCTTATTGTTGTTTTTGTAGAGAAACGATTTCTTTTGTATATTGGCGACGGCTCGCTATATTCGTGATTTCATTTTTCTCTTGCTGTGTTGCGGATAAAAGTTTGAGAAATTTCGAGTTTGGAATTTTGGGAGTATACGAGTATACTCACCTACCCCCCCCCCCCTTTTTAATGAGGGGGGACAGATGGTCTTGTCTTGCGACAAGATGCTTATGTACCCTTTAGGGGGGATCAAGCCGCCTCGTATTTC